AGGGGCATTGTCATGATGGAAAAACCAGTCACCCAACTGCTCCAAGTCACTCCCGACAGCTCCACAATTTCTTCAATGGTCCATCGTCGATCTTCCTTGATGATTTCACGAATTTTTTCAACATTTTCATGCGTTCGGGCTGTGGCAGGACGGCCAGAACAAGGTTTGTCATCAATTGACATTTCACCATTTTTGAAACGGGAAAACCACTCAAACACTGGAGTTTTCCCCATAGCATCGTCCTTGTAAAAAAGCAGAATTTCATCGCTGCATGAAAATCAGCCATTGCAAAAACAACGTTCACACAAAACAGTTGTCACTATAAACTCTGCCAAAACTAGTCCTTACCTTCTGAAGCAACGGTAGTCAGCTTATCGACTCAGGATGTTAGCTCTATGTGCTCACAGCGGCAAAACGCGGTACTACAAAAGCTCTGCCCACAAAAAATTTAGTTCGGTTTCTTTTGGGTACCCCATCGTAATTTTTGGTAAGTCATTTACATATAGTAAAAAGAGCACTGGGCCTAATACAGAGCCCTGAGGCACCCCGCACTGTATTTCTTTCCATTCAGAACAACATTTACTCCAATTTTCATTCAAAATTACTCTCTGGTATCTTCCTCTCAAATAGGATCTCATAAGTTTCTGAGCAGCTCCTTCAATTCCATAAAATTCCAAAATATACAAATATACAAGTACCCTCATATCTATTTGAGATCCTACAAAAGTTAGCCAAAAATTTATAATGGTCAATGTTAATATGTAAAAGATAATCTCTATAAAGCCAGTGTTCAGAGAAGCATAGGATGGCAGGCTTTAATGACCAAGAACTTAACAACACATTTAAAGCCATCACTTTGTTTCCCAGACTCTAAATACTGTATTATGATGTAAAATGTCCAGGTTGTACAATTTTTGAGGTCCATCATTACTAAAATTACAGGCAACCGAATGTCGTGAATCTACCATAAAATATCCTTTTCACGTTTCTGGGGTGGGTGCCGAATTCTCTTAGGAGGTAATGCAGTCTTTTTATGCTTTGCCTGGTCATCATCATTTACTTTTAAATTTATTTGGTCACAAGCTGGATCAGTCAATTTATTGTCCATAATTGAACTAGTGCTCTCTTTATTTCCCTTAGCTGAACAGATACTCTCTTTGGGTACCTGAGTTGTCAACACTCGATTTTCTTCACTTGACACAGTGAGCGCATCACACTCAATATAGTCCACAGAGTCACCCTTTTGATAAGAATGACGCTGAATCATTTTATTCCAACCACTCACAGTAACTTTGTTTATACACTGAGGCTGGTTTTCAGTCAAATAGCTTGTCATGTCTTCCCTTTCCTTCCATTTTAAGGCAATGATAGGTGACACTTTTTGACTAAACAGATCATTTATTACAGCAGCGATTTTATTTGCTACATGCTCCTTACCATGAGCATTTAGATGAAGGCCATGTGTTGTGTACAGGTCCCTATCAGTGTCCACAGTTATCACAGCAAGATTAGGAAACGCCTCTTTTAGTTTAACTAGAGTTTTATTTAATATTTTAGCTTCATTATTAACACAAGAATTTGGAATAAGATCGTGCCTTTGATGAACGCTCAATAAAAGTACATTTGTATGCTTATGGGAACTTATAAAATGTTTCAAAGCACAAATGCCCATATTTGCTTCATTTTGCCCAACATCGTTCGAGCCACCCTATACTATACAAACATCACTCTTTGTTAGAGTCTTTTGGTTGGATGAAGTGGTATTTACCAAATTTACTAGTGTTGATCCTGGTTTTGTCACACCCTGAATTTTGTAATTACAAGTTAGTTTATATTTTCATTCATTTGCTAATCCTCTTGCATGACTGTCACCAAGTATTTGGATTTTATGTTTAGCTTTACCTACTATCATCCTGATTCAACTCACTTTAGTTGAAACCTTGGGTATCAAGTTTTGGGAGTTTACTTGACTTTTGAGGTTATGTGAATTTGTTTCATCTTCATGCAGTATCTTGATTATCTAGTGTGAAGATTTTAATTCCATTAATAAAACTTTTACAGTCCTTTAATCTCAGACACCATGATATACATACAAGATTTCATAAAGACTGGTTCAGCCTTTCAAAAGTTCATAGAGGTGGAGACACAGACACACAGACAGCATGGTCATTGCATAAGCCTTCTTTTATTTTATGAAAACAAGGAAAGTGGGCTAAAAATATCAAACTGTAACAAACCTGCTGTAGTACTAGCTTAAATTTTTTTTACTCCTGCTTTATTGTGTTTATCTGGCCTGATTACAGAGGTGTAGAGGACACCATTGAACAATATCCTTACATGTCATTTAGGTTCGAGGCTGGATCACAGACTATTGGCATGAAACAGGGAAATTTCCTGATATGCCGTCTGAGGAATCAGGAGGTTCAACCTTGTTCTTCACAAGGCAGGCGGCAGAGAGTGAAATCAGTAAAACCACCACCTCATCATCCAGGTACAAATTCTGTATAAGACATGTCAGAAAGAATGAGTTGATTTAATGTACCTCTCCTACAACTGAGTACTGTTGTAAAGTGATATTTCTTCAGATAAAGAATGAATATAGACAGAGAGTGTTTGAGAACAAAATGACAAGAAGAAATCTGAACCCAGGACTGCAGAAAATATAATAATGGATAAATTATTGAGCAACGTCATAAATTTATCCATTTATGTTACCTCATTTAGGTTTAAATATTTTTGCCAGCACTTTGTTTTCAAACACATGTAATTTATGTATGTCCTCTCAGATTAAGGGACCATGTTCACAATTACACAAAACTGAAAAACTATTTTATATATTTTTATTGTTTTGAAAAGCATGTGAGATAACAGATTTTGAACTGAATTATAACTAATATATAATTTTAAGGGCCGCGCCATAGCTCAAGCAGTTAGTCGCTGGCTTCCCAACGTGGCGCCCTGGGTTCGATCCCGGGTCTGGTCAAGTTGGATTTGTGGCGGACAAAGTGGCGCTGGGGCAGGTTTTCTCTGAGTACTTCGGTTTCCCCTGCCAATCTTCATTCCACCAATTGCTCCACAATCACCCTCACCTATCATCTGGGGCTGGTACAATAGGCCAGAAGTGGCCGCAGTACAAGGGACTTAGTCCTACCCCACTAGCAATAAAAAAACATAATTTATTTTCCTCCTCATTTCATTAAAATGTCTCAGTTCTGTGTTATTTCTAAATGTCAATTTTTCTTTCAGATGCTTCAAATTTTGAAATCTTTTTCAAACAAATCATTAATGTTAGTTTTACTTTGTACCTTTAGATTAATCTGTACTTTTGTCTTGACCAACTCTGTTGCTAGTCTATATGAATATTTCTGTTATTATGCTTTATTACAGAGAGGGTAAAGGAAGAAAAGAAAAGGGGAAGAAAGACAAGGAAGAAGGAAAGAAGAAGAAAGATATGGAAGAAGATGACCCAGGCTTTAAGATGCAACCATCTAACTTCTTGGGAGACTTGCAGGCTGCCAGTACAGAATATGAAGAAGTTTGGCACAATCGAGAAGAGTCTCAGAACCCATGGCAGCATGCCGACATTGAGATGATCCGAGAACAGAAGATGGCTGAAGTGGAAGCTGAATTACGAAGGTAGTGTTCCAAGAGACTCAACTCTTTCTGCTTTAGATCTGATCTGTATCCTGCAGACAGAAAAAGCAGTAACTTTATATTAATTACTAATTCTATGATGCAAAGCCTTCCATGAACTGGTGACACACGGTATGAGAATTACTTGTTGCTATGGTTCATTGCTCCATTCACAAAAGGCCATCTTTATATCCTGTCATATAACATATCAATCCATTCAACATCTTCAAACTCTGTTTTGTGACAATTCATTTTTAATACTGGGAGCAGACTGCTTGTCAATATAGCAACTCAGCCATGAAATGGAAAGCCAAGAAATCAGAAGTGGTTCTTGGCAGGGGCAAAAGATTTTTCTCTCCTCTACAGCAATCAGACTCGCTCTGAGACCTATCCAGTCTTCTATCCTGTGGATACCAGCAACTCTTTCACAAAGGTAAATTAGCCAGAACTTCAAGTTGACCACTCAACTCAATTTCATGCCAAGGTTACAAATGTGTGGGGCCATACCTCCATTTCCCCACACATCTTCATTGTGTGGTGCATAATTAAAGCACAGGGGCTACTTTACCTTTACCTTGCCAATTTAATATTATCCTGCAACCTATCCCAAAGTTTCTGAAGTGGTCTCTCCCGTGAGATTTTAAGACCAGAATTTTGTATACATTTGTAACTCCCCCACCTTCATGATAATATTTCAGATTTTTTAGATTTTTGCAACACTGTTACCATGCAGGTTGCAGTTGCTCAGTTTAAATCTTGAATGAAACATCAACTGTTCTGAATAAAGCATTTTTTGTTTTCAAGCTTGAGGGACCAGTGTGTAGATGGAAGGATAATATTTAAATGGGTCTTAAGAGAAACATATCATAAAGGAGGGACTGAATTTAACTGACTCTAGGGTCCAAAGATGGACTTTTATGAACATGGTTATGAACCCTCAAAGTCCATAAAAGAAGATAATTTCTTGGCCAGCTGAATAACTATCATCCTTTCCAAGTAGACTCTTCATTACGGAGTTCGTTTCTTAAATAATTAGTTTATGAGTATTACCCAGTCATTACATTATTATATGTTGAACATCATCCAAGTCTGGGGTATATTTGGCATTGAACTGCAGAACTTATTAGGAGTCTTCAGGAGATAGACTGTCACTTATTTTTATTTTAGACATCAGTAGCAATAATCAGCAACATGTTCAGCACCCTTTGAACAACAGTCATGTATACTAACAATTGGACCAGCCTAGAATTCAAAGATAGTTGGGTTTGATCCTGGTCATTGCCACTAATGTGCAAGATCAAAGAAAATAAAAAGTGTCCCTTTATAATTACAATGAATCACCTGAATATGGAAGAAGAATTAACTCCCAAAATATCATGTATGTCAAATAGACCTTAGACAATGGAAAATGTCCAATATAATTGTAATGCAATGAATCAACTATTGTCTTAATCCTACAGGGGATCATGAAATTAATTATTTTTTTCAGAGAAGTAGACCAGTTATTAAGAGGAGAATTAGAGGTATTGCAAGCTGCTTTGGCACGTGATCTTGCAAGTAAGGGCAAGAAAGCACGCAAAGCCAGCAAGAAGAAAGGTCGAAGTGGAAAGAAGAGTAAGAAGAAGAAAGAGAAGGATCTGACACCTGATCGAACACTAGAGTCTCTGTTTGAAGAACTTGTTACTAATGGTATCATCCGCAAGTATCCTGAAGTTCGGCTATCAGAGTTCCGAGGGGAGCGCTCATACGCTACACATGATCTCCGTAAGCAAGGCAAGGACCCACTGCCGTCACTTGGAGATATACGTCAGGTCATACTAGAATACTGCATCCTGCCATTGGGATCTAAAACAGTTCACCAGATGGCACCATTGGTCAAATCAGTATTGTTGGCAGGATCACATGGCAGTGGTAAAGACATGTTGGTGCATGCTGTGTGCACAGAGACTGGATCGGTGTTGTTTGATCTCTCACCTGCGAACATCACTGGAAAATATCCTGGAAAATCTGGGCTCATCATGCTGGTGAGTTATCTCATTGGAAATGGGTTCATTAACATTCTCTTCTCGATGCTATATAGTCTGGGCTACTGACAGTATTGTTAAATAAACTATAAATGATAATGTCACATGTTACAGTGAATCAACAGGGTTTTGGATTGTTGACTGGATTTACTGACCACTTTAACACTCAACTCATAACTACATTTAGTTACAGCACCATCCCTGACCTTTCCACTTTATACAGTTCACTAGAGCACACAGTCTAGTGTTTTCAGTCTGTTACTAGACATATCCTGGTAACAGCTTCTAACAAGGGCTATTCCTCTGCCTCTGGGCTCAAGTCCTCTCTGAATCACAGCTCCCTTTCAACTGACTATTCTTGCTACAATTGGCCTTCTTATGTAGTCCCTTTGCAAGGACCAACTAGAAAACACTGTTTTTCTGTTGCTGTATCATCATTGTATTTGTGCCTGTTGTGGTCCCACATGATTGCTACTCAACCAGTCCATTGGCTCACTAGTGGCTGCCTAGCAACAGCTGCTTGTCTCACTTGTTTCACAGTCATTGACTAGTAATGAGTCTACACACTACAATAATAATACAGAAAAAAAGCATTCTACCCACTGGCTTCTTTCTACACAGTAATCACAAAACTGTGGCCTTTGGATGACTATTAAGCATGTTTATTGGAAAGAAATAAGATTCTTTTGTTAGTCTCTTGAGAGGAAGGGTTCAAGTGGAAAGTATTATTAAAAATAAAATAAAAATTACAACATGCATTTTGGTGTCAATAAAAAGGGAACTGCTGGATTCTCGGACTTTTTCCATTGTCCAGTATTCTAAAAACTAGGGAACATAACGTTTTGGAAACCGGACCTTCATCTGTCCTCAAGTAACTGAGGATGGATCTTTCTAAGGGACACATCAGAGTAGGTGTCCCCTCATTACCTGAGGACAGAAACAGATCCAGTTTCCAAAACATTGTGTTTTCTAGTTTTCAGAATGGTGCACAATGGACACAGTCTGAAAATCCAGTAATTTTGAGTGTTCTACAGCATCATCAGAACCCTTTAGAATCAGAAAGGGGTCAATACATTTTTGTTTGATACAGAATATGGGTACTTATTTTAGTGTGACGAATTGTCTGTTACTTTTTTCAGTGATAAAGCTTCACATTACTTTGTTGGTGACAGAAATTCTAATTAATATTTTAGTCACATTAAATTTCTGTTACTTATTACAATAACTAACAATTTCTGAATATGCTGTAACGTGTCTCTTGGAAACCTGAACAGGTGCACCTAGTGAACAAGGTGTCCCGCTTGCTCCAGCCATCAGTAATCTATATAGATGGTGCAGAGAAACCTTTCTTGAAGAAGGTTCCAAAAACAGACAAGACGGATCCTAAACGCTTGAAGAAAGATCTTCCCAAAATAGTCAAAGGCATCAGCCAAGAAGACCAGGTAAGAATGTTACATCCCTCAAATATGAGAATCACACACTTCACAATCGATAGCTAGCCTGCACTTACTAGACATAAAACAATGGATATGCTTCATGTGCTAGGCAGATATTACTGTAATAAGCAAAAGCTAATGAGAAGGATGGTTATTAAGTATCTTGCAGCACTAACTATTAGTGAATAACTCACAGACCTACACAGTTGAAGTCTCTGCACAATCCAGCTCACATATGAAGCTGCATGAGATGAATCAATAAGAAATAGACTGACAAAACAGGGAACTGTAAAGTAAAAGAAAGTAAAAAGGTAAAGCTATCCTTGTAACCGGCCATGGAGGCCCATAGAGTTATGAGAGGTCGAGGCTCTCACACTTTCCAGACAATTGGCTCATAGATGGTGGTGAAGTTGTTAGTCAGCCTTACGCGCCAGATGACCTTTACACCCAGGAATATTCCTGGTACTTATTTCTGTTGGAGGCTGAGTCGACATCAGGGCCCTAGTGCAGCTGGAAGAATTAGGTCAATTGAAAAAATCAACCTCATCAAAATTTGATCCCGCAACCTTCCGGCTTGTAGCATAGTGCCTCAGCCAACTATGATACCGCATGTCCCAAACAGAGAACTGCAGTTGCTATAATAATAGTTAAAAATTCAGTTCCTACCTCAGAGAGAACATAGTGTCTCCATTACAAAAACCAAATGGTTACTGTGGTTTTTGGAAATAATCACTGTTTATTCTGAGAATCACAGGAAACATATAAATACAATCTTTGAGCTAAATACAAAGTTCTTTACAAGGTTAATAGAAAGTCCGTCGAGTGTAACAATTTGTAGGTCACTTTTTATTATTATTTCTGCCTTACATGTTTCGGTTTGACACAACCATCATCAGAGGCACTTGCTATAATTATGGAAACACTGTCGCTGTTTTTTGATGTTCACAATTATGTTGTCGTGTGGACGCTGCTACGATATGTTCACGTGTAAAAGCACAAAGCATGCTAAGATACTTGAGTACACTCTCAAGTTCTCACTTTTCATCCGAACCTATTTTTTAAGTTAAAACGCTAAAATGTTAAAATATTTGACATAAATGCTGAACTCCTCCTTGTTAATTCATCCCGAAGAACATATCATAGCAGCGTCCACACGACAACATAATTGTGAACATCAAAAAACAGCGACAGTGTTTCCATAATTATAGCAAGTGCCTCTGATGATGGTTGTGTCAAACCGAAACATGTAAGGCAGAAATAATAATAAAAAGTGACCTACAAATTGTTACACTCGACGGACTTTCTATCGACTTTGTGATTGATAGTGTAACGGACCAAAATGAAACAATTAAAAAAAAAACAAAAAAACCCGAAGTTCTTTATTTGTGGGGGGGGGCGGTGTTAGATCAAGTGGTGTGTGCAGAAACTATCATGCACTAAAGAGTTAAAAGGATTCTCAACAATGAAGGGGGACTGGCACCTTGCATTCCCAACATTCAGAAGTTTTGACTCTGTTAGATGCAAGGGAAGGAAAAGGCATATAGAAAAATCAACATTGGATCCAGATACAACCTTGTAAGGATTTTATGGAATGTGAATGAATGAATGAATGAACGAACAATGTATCTCAATAGTCACTTACAGCATTTGTGTGTGTCTGCAGGTTCTGCTTATTGGTGTGTCCCGATGTCCATGGGATTGTGATCAAAAAGCCCTTGCCCAGACATACAATAAGATGATACTGATCCCACGTCCTGATTACAGCAGTCTCTCATTTCTATGGAAGGAGCTACTGTTTCAGTTTGGTGGTGTTAGCCGGCAGTTTGATACTGCAGCCATGACAAAGGTCTGCAACAAATATATTAAGTGTATAAAGCTCACAAATTTAGCAATTCAGATACAGTTTTCAGTTCAAGGATATGACAATGAGCTGAGATGACCTGTCAGGATTCATAGATGCCCTCTCTTTCAGCAATTCCCAAACTGTCTCAGACTCCTCTGATGTGAGTAATCCACCATCCTATTTTTATCTAAAATGCAAAGTTTCGGAGACTGGATTCTGTCTCTGTCTGCAGGTGGAACCTACTCAGTTGGAGAAAGGGACTAGCTCTATCGATTGGGCCCAACTGATTAGGTTCCACCTGAAGACAGAGACAGAATCCAGTCTCTGAAATGTTTTGTTTTAAATAAAAACAGGATGATGGATAATGTCCAGAAACACAATAGTTGTATTAATATATCAACATCACAAACATTTAGAACTTATTTTAAAAAAATATTTTAAATAGTAATAATATATTGATCAGACCATGACCACTTCCTTCCAAATCCTATCCAATTCATCATTCATGTATCATCCTATAATTTGGCACTATACTGTGTAGTTACTGACAGTGTCATAAAATAACACACACAGAAAAAATTTATGGGAAGTGAGGTATAGAGATATGAGATGTTCTAGAAAAAATTCATGAAGCTTGCTTTTCTTCAAATACTTCCATCTGAAATAGATAGGTTAACAGAAATTATACATGAATAGTTTTACTTCTCCTATATGAAAGTTTACAGATTTGTTTTAGTTTATTTAATGACACTGTCTACATAATATAAAATGGTATATGTGGAATGAATAATTACCCAGTCAAGTGGTTCTTTTCTGTGTTCTTATCTCTCCTGTAGTGGCATATTAAATTCCCCTGAACATTTAAATTTGTTACTGCAGCGTTTAATTTTATGCTCCCATTTTAAAATGCAATATCTCAATCCTGTGTCATTATAGCATTATGGAACAAAAGCTTCTTAAAGACAAGTTATCAGATTTCACATATCTGTATTTTCATTTCTATAGAAATTATATTAAAGTTTATACATATTTATTCATAAAATTCTGTACTTTTGGCTTTATTCTCAAAGAATCCACCACTTTCGCCACTGACTTTCATTTCCGTTCATACTACATGATCTCACATGTATGCCTGTGTCATTCACATTTTGTATACATGGTTTTGACTGGTGTATGGTGTTTAAAACTGAAATATGATCATAGTAGTCTGCTGACAAATCTGTCTTGTGAAAACACACTCCCAGCTTGGCTTATTGTGACACTGTGAATACCTCATCGATAAACAGAGTTTCTTATTGTCGTTTGGGCAAGCTCAAGGCTAGTATAGATGAATGAACTGAACTCTTCTTCCAAACATCACTGCAAAATCATTATCTTTTACAGATTATGAAGTCATCACTAAAACGATTATACCAGCATAAACACTGTTGCAACTCAAGTGGCAGATACTGAGAATATGTTATAATTATGTAGTTTTCAATACCAGCCCAGTGATGGGGCTTACATTTTAGTTTTAGATTAGGTGCATTTTCTACCAAATTTTGGGGCATCCTGATTTGTTTCTCTGGCTATTACTTCCACAATGTCTGATGTACAAAACAACTCAAAATATTCCAGGTGGTTACTGTGGTCTTCTAAATCAACATTTATGCCAGGCTTGCCAGTAGATGGAAAATGCGGTCACTCAGCACCTGAATTTGCCCATATGTCAGGTTGTTTGCTACTGTTTTCACAGACATTTTCTACTTCATCAGAGCTGACACGTTGTTCGCCACCTAACAAAATTTTCACATTTATTTCACTATCACTACTGTATTCACTCTCTGAAATAGCACTGTATTCAATCCTTTGTAACAGTTCATAAAACACCTCAACACTTATACATATTTTTTTTTTATTTCATGCATCCTGTTGTGTTATAATATATAATTTCTTTATTAAAACCATCACAACAGAACTATATTAAGGTCAGTGTCTAGTTTGGCTCTGCATGAACACTAAACTAAAGCTACTGAACTGCAGTGCTAATTTATATTTTAATAAGAAATGTTTGGCTGAGAACTTAACACCTAAATATGCGCTAACAAACAGGAAAGTAAATCCACATATAGCAGAGCCAAACTAGGCACTGACCTTAATATAGTTGTGTTGTGATGGTTTTAATAAAGAAATTGTACTTACACGCATCTTCGTGCTAGGACCTGCCATAATGTTTAGTTGAAAGAACCTGAACCCAGGACAGCTATCAAGCAATCAACAACTTCCTATCACACTCTGAAGTAGCTAGAACATCTTGCAAACACAACGTACAGCTTCCATTGCTGACTGGAGTAGTTAGAAATATGCATGACGTCTATAGACCTCATAGCTATTAGACTAGTTAAATGGTATGGGTGTGGTAGGAAGTGGTTATCCCTAATTCCGGCTACTATCCTAGCATTTGCGTGGAGGAACTCAAACAGGAAACCATTGAAATGTGTCAGGATTGCTCGTGTCTCAGCCAAGATTTGCATAGGCACCTCCAAAATACAACTTACAGGTGTTACTGTTTGTACCGTTTGAGTCCATTTACTTCATAAAATTTGCAGATACAACCACAATGTTTCACGCTGTAATTATATTTGTAATTTTTTACATATAAACATTCATAGGGAGGCTGGTCACTTATCTCCATTTAAATTTCATGAATTAGGAAATAAACTGAACACAATGCAAAATATTTCAGGTATCAGATTGTTACACAGTTGGTGCAATACTTGAAGTGATAAAGGAAGTGATGACATGTAAGCGAGTACTACAGCTAAGGGTGCAGCCCCTGACTCATGCAGAGCTCATCAACTCACTCTGCAAGTTAGAACCTGTCTACAAGGAGGAAGATGAAGCATTTCTACAGTGGCTTCTTAAGACACCAATAGGACGCAGGAAAGCTCGACAGCTCGAAATTGAGGCTGAGCTTCAAGCCAGTCTTGCACCCATGTCCAACAAGAAATAAACGGAAACTGTCACCCCTCCACTAACAGTTTGCGCCATGTTCATGAACACTTTTTAAGAAATTATCTTAAATATGCGCCATAAAAATATGTGGGTATGAACATTAATGACATAACAGATATCAGACACATATTTCCTATGATAGCAAGAACTAAGCTGTTAAATAGTGTAAAATTATACCAGACATGATACAATGATGTAAATGTACTAACCCTTCACTTTGATTGTAGTTTATTTAACAAGGTTGTCAATTATTTGGACTATATAATGTCAAACAACTGAATGATAATGAATGGGAAAGGATGTGCAAGGAAATGGTTACGGTCTAATTTAAGGTAAGTATCTAGTGTTCTGTTGGAAGGCTTGAGGAAAATAATGAAAAACCTCAGTCAAGATTTTATTTGTGTGAGAAGTCTTCAAAGTGTAAGTTCTTGTTTTGCTTGTAGATCATTGTTGTGCTTTGCTGTCACTCTTTTCAATAAACATCACTTCCATAGCATGTTTTAAGCTTATATGGTCATCGTCAGGCATGCTTCATTGTACTGCTTTTGCAGTTCATTATCCTATGCTCAGTCAAGATAATCAGTGTACTGACTAGGTTTGAACCAAGCAACTTCTGAGTGCAGATCAGCAGCGTTACTGCTTTAGCCAGCTTGTTCAGACACTTATTTTTTTAAAGAAGTTCTGCAGTCCATGTTAAGTCAGTTAGTGACTGCTGTTTACTTGGACTTATGACTGAATCTTTAGTTATTTAATGACAGTGTTTCAATTGTGGAGTTACACAGCAGTGAACAAGATGGTGATATGATCACGAATGTGATTAGATAAAAATTTTGAAGGGCATGGCCTCTTTCAAGGTACTATCTTGGCTGTTGCCATGCGAGATAAGAGAAACCATAAAAACGTTCCTCAGGACAGCTGGTAATTAGCTCAGAATCAACTATGTATTACCTATTACTGTATCGCATTTTCTACAAAACCTAAAATCCAAGTGATATGAAAACATTTTTATTGAAAGGTAACAGGTACAATATGACATATGAGGGGGAGTCCGTAAATAGGTCTTTATGAATATCCTTTGCACCAAGTCCTTTTGCCCACCAAAAAAAAAAAAAACACAACAGAATGCTACTCTTCAGTAGTATACCCCTCAAGCAAGGTCACCATTTTGGCTACTCAAACCAGCCTCTGAACATGCAAATGCACATCTGCTACCTAGACTGTGCTGCTGCCTAGTGATACAGATACAAAACCTATTATGTCCATTTTACTTCCATCTGTGACCTATTTACTGACTCTCCCTCATATATAATGCAATACAGTCTTCAATGCAACTTGAGAGATTTGTTGAATCACAACTTAGTTCATGTGAATTCAAGACATGTTTCAACCACACACAGCCATTAATGAGTATATATAATAATTTGCATAAACTGTTTCACTGTATTTTAATACTGTATAGCCAATGAGGACTGTATGTCTGGTAGGTTTACTATTATAAAGAACCAAACTGGTTCCTGTATAAATAATTCAGTGATTGAGAATAGCTCTTTCTAACAAGCCCAAATGAGTAGGTCTATCTTGCCCCATCCACCTGAGGACAGAGACAGATCCAGCCTCTGAAACGTTGTGGTTTTTTATCTTATATATACCAGACAATGGATAAGTCCAAAATAAACCTTATAGTTCTGTACACTTGCCTAATGTTAATCCTGGATAGCCAGATCGCTTTACTGAAGAGGATTGGTTCTTTGAGCCTCTTTATATCCCTCTTACTAGTAAAGGGTACAATCACTGTCTTGTTTGGATTGATAGACTAGTTTATCCTTTCGCATCACTGTTGAACTGTATACAGGGCTGTTTGTAAGACCTCTGATACAGTGTAGGGAATTTCCCATTGATTAGGACTGCTATATCATCAGCATATCCTACTGTGAAGTGGCCTGTACTGTTGAGCTCTCAAAGATCATCCATGACCAGGCTCCAGAGGAGAGGGGAAAGAGCACCCCCTGCAGACCCTCCCAGGGCCTCTCCAGATAATGTAGCACTTATATTCCTGCTTTCCAGCATGGCACAAATCCATCTGCATATTGTGGGCTTAATGCCATGCCTTTCAGCAGCATGTTTTATTGTATCAAAGGAGGTTCTGTCAAAGGCTCCCTCTACATCAAGGAATGCTCCAAGGGCAATATCCTTGTGTTCAGTAGCATTTTCTATGCGTGTTACTACATTATGCAATGCAGTTTCGGTAGATTTACCTATTTGGTAAGCATGTTGGTTTCGTTGCAGAGGAAGAATTTTCAATGCACCATCCCTAATATGTCTACCTACCACTTTTTCAATCGTTTTCAAAAGGAAAGACATAAGGCTGATAGGACGATAAGCTGTAGCCTTGGTATAATCAAGTTTCCCGGGCTTTGGAATAAATGTCACTTTAACTTGCCTCCAGGCCACAGGGATAAACCCATGCGCCATGCAGGCTCTAAATATGTGGCATAGGTGTGGGACTAAATGTTCCACCCCTTGCTGCAGAAGTGCCGGTACAATACCATCTGTTCCTGCAGACTTAAATGGTTTGAAGGTACCTAACGCACATCTGATTTTTGATTGATTGATTACCTGACCATCCAGGTTCCAGTCTCCCCTGTTCATTATGTATCCACATACATTCACATTCTGCTGGCCCCGCTCATCACCTGAATCATCAATCAACTTTGAATCTGGGAAGTGAACTCTGAACAGTTCCTTCAGTGTTCCTTCTCCACTTTGGGTATATTTAAGATCAGGCAGCTTAATAGTGCTAACCTTATTGGTTGATTGTTTTGCCATGACCCTCATGAGTCTGGCACTGCCCGGTATATCATTGATCTCCTTGTATAACTCCCAATTGGTTCTCCTGGGATTCCTGAAGGTAACTTGTTGTGTTGTTATGTTACCTGTTTGAAAGCATATGTATCTGTGGTCCGATAAAGATGACTCATCAGATACATGCCATTTACTTACCAGGTTTTTTATGTTATTTGTCCCTAGTGTCAAATCAATAACCTCCTTCCTGTTGCAAACTACAAAGGTAGGTTTGTTACCATGGATTAGAATATTTAGGTTCGAACTCACCAGAAATTCCGTGATGCTCTCTCCCCTTGGGTTGGTGCTGGTGCCTCCCCATAAGATGTGGTGTGTGTTGGCATCACACCCAATGACGAATTGCTCTTTCCTGCTATGGCAGTAATCTGTGATGTTCCTCATTTCCTTAGTTGGTGGTGAATCATCTGCATAATATGGAAGGTAGGATGAAGCAACAATCAGCTCCCTGCTGCCCACTCGATACGTATATGTTATCCTCACTGCTGTTGCATCCTTGAAACAGAGCTCCAGCAAAGGTAAGGCATTAATATGATTCATGATATAAACACAGGATCTTGCATTGTTAACAGGTACAGCAGAGTAAACTGTTCCCTTGTGTTAGTTAAGCCCCTTATTTGACCCTTCTATAACCAAGGTTCCTGAATAAGTGCTGCATCTGCCTTTCCCTCAGCTAGCTGTTGGCATATAGTTGCCATGGCTGCTTTGCTGTGGTGTAGATTAATTTGAAAGAATTTTGTGTTATGTGTGTATGTGTGTGTGTTTACTGTTCCTTCTTAGTCTCAGACTGGGTCCCATTTGAGGGGGTCCCAAGATCTGCTCTACTTTGGTCTGAAGGAGTGGGTACATTATCCCCCTCCCCTCAGAGCCTGATTTTAAAGATGATGTGTCTGTCACAGTTTCTTTTGGTGCTGAGCCTCAGCGTCTTTCAGCACTTTAACAGTCCCTTGTGAGAGCCCTGTGAATATCTTATATCTGGTCCTCTGTATAATGGTATATGAGTCCTGGTCTACAAATAGGATAAGCCTCTGGCCTTTCGGCTCAGATTGCTTATCAAGTACTCTCCAGTGCTCAGTGTGGAGCTCTGGTTTAAGATGTGCAATCCAGTTCAGTAGCTCTTCCTGATTCTGGGCAACTTTGTCCCTAATCTTGAGAGCCACTTCAACAGGCTTGGGTAGGTTCCTGGCATCAGTATCCTTCAGTCTGGCCCCTGTTTCCAGCCTGTAATTGTCGATTGCTTTGATAAGCCATTGACCAGACTGTTGGTCAGCGCATGTATAAATAAGTGCCCCTCCCCCCAGTCTGTAGGACTTCAGGTGTAGTAATTCTCCTAGTGGAGTCCTATGTAACACCCCTCCCAGTACATCCAGAATGGAGTTCTGGTCGTCTTCTGTTATCTTATTTTCAGGATATGTTTCCCTGAAGATAGCTACCTCTACGTTGGTCACAGCCTCGTTGTAGGTCCCTGGGCCTTTTTGGGGCTCTGACCGTTTCTGTGGGGGTACTGCCCACTGACCTTGGCCCCTTAAAGGTCCCGGTAGGGGTTGTTCCCTGCTTGGGTGAGCCTGCATTTCCTGGTTGCTGAATGCCCCCAGTTCCAGCTTCGCTTGGCCTAGCTCCTGCCATTTTAAGTTCTGTCTGGCACATCCGGACAGTGTCTTCTTCACCGGACGGAGTCCACTTACTCCAGAGACTAGGTGTCCCAGACCTCCTACTGTAGTTATGCTAGTTTTGCCTCAGGCAGATTTTGAACCACTGGTTTGTCTCTGTCTTTGGCTGAAATTTCAACAGCAGGTTCATTGGTTGGCACCAGGCACCTTAACAGTGCACCAGAGCTTCCTGCCCCCTGCTGAAGTATTTCTCATAGGGATCCCCTTGGAGGGGAGTCCCTCTTCTCTTTAAGATCCTTACGACCGGTCTTTACTTTGGTACTTTTCGTTTTGGTCCCACGAGTCATGGGGATGTAGTAGGTCACCACCCGTAGTGCCCCATATGGGTGGAAGGCATGAATACAACGGGGTGCTGCCTGGTGCCTCGAGGGGATAGTTCACGACACCGGCTAATAACCACCTCAGTGCCACACAGCCCTCAGCACGAAGCCTCACACCTTGGCTTAGGTGTTTTGGTCTTGTTAAGGTGTAACGGCAGCAACCACCGCCATGTCCCTCAACCAGACCCCCTTCTTTCCTTTTCCCCCTCTCCACATGCCCTACGCTTGCGCCCTTCATCCTTTCACCAGGGACTGAGAGGCTCGTCTGAACACTGGAGGGCCATTCTGCTGCATGCCGTGGAAGAGTCTGGTCTCGACCCCAAATTATTTCTTGGAATTTTGGTTTACTAAATTAACGGTGGAGTTGGTGGACGCGTGTATGTTGTGCCATCCTCATCTGGGGCAGTTTGTATTTTTTTAATCAATTATATTATTATATTATTATACTTATTTGGTGTCTGTATTAATATAGTTTCCTATCCCAAACCACTTTTCGGTCCTTGGGCTTTGGTACGTTTCAAAAAGTGGTAGCAGAGCGTGGTTTGGGGTATTTGTACTTTGGTTTGCTTGTTGGGACGTTTTGACTGTTTCTATTCTGTTTTGTGTTGATCATGACGTCTGAGCCTCTACTGCCCGAGTACCTACACAAGGACGAGCTGCAATACGAGCTGGCAGCTCGGGGGATTTCGACGGAACGGTTGAATGTCGCCGCACTCAGATCACTACTCAGGACCTCCCGGGATGTGGA